ATATTGGTGTGATAAATTTATTTTTAATTAAAATGTTAAAAATTGATATCTTTAAATAGAAAAAATTAAAAATTAGTATTTTTATTTAAAAGCTAACAAAATTAATATTTTTAAATAAAAAATATGAAGTTTACATCTTTATTTATATCTTTATTAGGATAAGTTTTCTTTTATTAGTGATTTTAAGAACATATGTTAAAGTTACAATTATTATATTTTTATATTAATTAATATTTAAAAATAAAAGTTAATTTTTATTTAAATAATTACATAATTAAAATAATTTATGTATTACTAGAAATAAAATTAATGATAATTTTATATTTTTTAATATTAATTAATGAAAAAATAGTGTAATAATTACACTATTTAAAAATTAAATACCTTTTGAGAAAATTAAGGAAAATAAAATTTAAGAAAAAAAATTGAAAAAGAGAGGCAAATTAATATACCACCTAAAAAATTATGGTTTTAAATCCATAAAAAAAATTAAATATTAAATCCCAATCCAAATTTAAATCATAAAACTCTAAATCATAAATTAAACTTTACCCTTTAAATTTTTTTTATTGAATTCTAAAATTTTAAAATCCAAAGCTCTAAAATTATAAAACTAAATGCTAAATTCTAAAACTTTAAAGTTTAAATTTCTAATTTTACACATTAAATCTTAAATATTGAAATATAAAATTATTCTTCCTAAATTCTAAAAAAAATAGATTTAAAAATAATAAATGCTTAATTTGAAAAGTAGTACAGTGAAAAAATATAGTAATTTTTATTTTATTATTTTGAATTAACTATTTTAGTATACACTTTTTGAATATAATTTTGCCCAAATAATGTCTTTTTTTTAATTAATTTTTGGTTTAAAAGGTATTTATATTAACAAAAAGTAATAGCAAATATGTATTAAGAATATTGTAGTCAAGTGGCATTAATTAACCTTTGAGATCTGATTTTTTTTCCTGCAATTTTGGACTTTGACAGTAACTTATCTCATTAAATAACAACATAAAAAATACTCCACTGTAAAAAAAGTTATTAAATAATGAAAATTTTGTCATTTGTCAAAAGAATCATAAATTAAGGATTGTATAAAAATTTGGTATATGACATTTTTTCTTTATTAGTTTTTCCCTTATTATATAGATAGCTATAGAATAGATTTCCAATGCAATATAATCAAATGGTTGAGCCAAATAAAAAAAGGAAAATGATTTAGAGACAACATTTTTGTACTATTTTTTGAGATAATTTTACATGTTATTTAAATGATTAATTTTTTTATTCATTTAAGATCCATAATATTGAATGTATTTATTCATTTAATAACATATGAAAGTTGTATAAAAAGATAATATAAAAAGGTTGATCCTATATCATAGCCCAACAAAAAAAAAAAAACAAATAAAAGATGAAGAGCATCAAATCTAATAAAATCTAATACAATTAACTGGATAAAACTTAGAATTAAAAAAGAAAAAAAATATAGTTTTATGAAATGGAATTAATAAAACTTGAATGATATAACATAAAAGAGGAGCGGTTATTGTTGTTTCTTAAAAAGTTAATATTATATTATTTTAAT